AACTGGTTTATTTCAAAACCTATGGAGCAAACTACAATCATTTTGATCTCATTTGAAAGATAATTTAATTCCGAACAAAAAGTTTCGTATAACCATGGGTCGAAAAATGCTTCTTTAAAAAGTTAGCGCCAAAAAACCTCTGAAATCACGGTTATTTTTTACATTTTTACAAATATCAGGGAGACTATGCGTCTTTTAACAAAAAGTACCGGAACAAAAGTTATAGAGAATTAAATTATCTCTTAAGAGGATGCCAGACCGTCCTGTTTTACCGACCCTAATAATTATATATTTGCTTAATATAAAAGTTTTGGCAGTTTGTATGTACAAAATAAGATAGGTTCCCACTCGGAAATGCATGAAAGAATATAAGTGAACGTTTGAAAATATATTTAGAAGCCTAGTAAAAAACATTTCGGTGTTCAAAAATTTTGTGGAAAAGGTGGAAAAGGATTTCTTATTTCATGTAACCAATAAAAAAATTTCGGTCTGCAAAGTGTAATTATTATGGCCGGTAAAACAGGCATCACCTTAAATGAGATCAAAGTTATTGTATTGGGTTGAACGGCACGAACTTTCCGTTCAACCCAATATTATATTTTAAATTTAAAATGTGTGGACAAAATAGAGAGATATTTTCCATCGTATTTACTATATCAATCCTCTACTATTAATCCTCCAACATATTAGTAAAAAGAAGCGCTATATAAATCAGACTAGCGGGAGTTTTTCGATCTCTAACATATGGAAGTTGAATTGCAGAGCACGTGGTTGAATAATAAGACAATCAGATATCGAGTTTCAGCTTCAAAGACCAGACTTTAAAATATTGCGACGGCTCTGTTTGTTTTGCAACGATGAATCTTCAAATAATTATAAGAAATAGAAATGGTACATAGGCTGTTTCTACTCGATATTACACATCGATCTTAAATCTTTCTTCTTTAAAAGTAAATGATGTCTGTAAGATATCTCACAATTCGTGACCTCAACTTTAATGACAGATACTCTGCCGAGTCTACAGAAGAGGGAAGTAAAAATATGTGGTTTTTCCAACGAGAAAAAGTGCTTCTCTTGAAAGATTTAAACTATCCGGAAAATTCACGACATCTTAATTTCCGGTCTGCGTCGTGCTTCGTTTCTCGGATATATATAGGTACAGTTTCCCGGCGTTATCCAAATTACAAATCCGTGCTATTGTTGGCCGCGCATTACGCGATTTCCGCGCGAGGGAAGGGTGCGAAATTTCGCGGACGAATTAGAACAAATGTCGTTCTCGGGCAGCTTTATAAGATCAGCGAGTGCCCGAGCGGCGCTAATACAGAAATTAAGTTACGGTGAAAATAGCGACGGCGCGGTCGTGCGAAATGTTTTCGTCGACGGAAGCGATAGCCACTTCGCAGACAGTTTCGAGGAAAAATTGCGATCGCTGTCTCCGCTCCGGAAATGCACCAAATGTCCGGGGGGCAAAACTGCGATTCTCACTATGATCAGACGGCGCATTATTGAAGTCGTTTCCCTCCTTTATTACGACTCGTTCTCGCCCTCGCCGCGAAAATCTACGATAATATTTTTCTAATCTTCTTTTATTTTTCTAAATAGTGATTATTAGACATTACAAGTATATCTTTCCGAAATGTTTAAATTATAGAAACACTAGAATTTAATTAAATTCTAAAAACACTGGATTTATACATTTAAAGATTAAAAAAAATAAATTATGCACTTCATAGTGCAATTATTAAAGTTGTTTCTCTTTTTTATTACAACTCGTTTTCGCTCTCGTGACGAAAATGTACGGTAACATTTTTCTAATTTTCTTCTATTTTTCTAAATAAAAAAATAGATATTCTAAATATTTTTCTGAAATGTTTAAATCTGAAAATCTTTCAGGATTTATATGCTTGAAGATTTAAAGAAATAAATTTGCGCGCTCGCGCGCGTTTTGGCAGTTCCAATTTAACACTTTCATATTACTCTAGCGTTATTTTAATAAAAAGTTACAGCGTATTTTCTCTCCAAAGTGACATTACATCCGATAATACTGTTAAATGGAGAATAAGTGGAAATTATTCCGCGTACGAGAGGAATTAAAATCTTTGGCAGTCTCAGTCTCTAACAAAGTTACGCGTTGTATATATATATAATTAAGATTTACCGCTCTT